TTGCGATGATGGTTTTAAAAGTTATACTCTGCTCCAGCACCATAAGCTATTGCATTTAGAGCGTAAATTTCCATGCAATATATGTACAAAAAAATTCATACGCTCAAGTGATCTTAAAGTGCACATGCGTTCTCACACTGGAGAAGAACCATTCGAATGCCATTTGTGTGACCGACGGTTCAAAATAAAAGTACAGCTCAATTATCATCTGCAGCAACACGCTGGCATCAAACGAAAATGCGCAGAGTGTGGAAAAGAGTTTAATAACGTAAAACAATTGAAAATCCACTCTTACAAACACACCGGAATGCCATATAGATGTTCGATGTGTGATTATGGTTGCGCAAAGCGTGAAGTGTAAATTAAAATGTGTATACACATATAAGATATAATATATGATCATTAAAATTGTTTTAGGTTTAGGCACCATTTGTCGAGGATGCATAATATGACTATGACTCCCGATGAGTATCGTGCTATGTTCAAAGCAAATACCGGCCGAAATCCATGCGTGAAACCGTTAGAGGAGTTACAAGCAAAGGAGCAAAAATTGGAACATAATGATCAATGAAACGAGTTTACCTATTACTAAAAATAGTAAAATAAACAAGTAGTTTTTAAGCAAAAAACAAAACCGACTTCAATTATATATCATAAAAAAAAAATTAATGGTACCGTTAATTTCTTCATGATCCAATGACCGAATCTAACCCAAATTAGTATGGGACCAATTCGGAGGTATCACCTTTCCTTTAAAAAATTATATATAGAATTATAGAAATCGGCTACCGTGGTCCAAAGTTATGAATTTAGCGTCCTCTATTTTACTGATAAGCGAATTTTCATTTAAATTCGTTCATAATTCTATTTTTGCCCACATTTTATATGGAAGGGGAAGCACTGTGTATCCTTTCGATTGGTGTCTATTTCTTTTGGCATTTAGATGGGTGCAATTATTGCATCCTAACTTAGTCATAGCCTGGACCGACATTTTTTAGGCAACCCATGTTCAAAAGTATTCTTTTCACATGAAGTTTTATAAGAAATACGTTTCATCCGGTGGTCCGATGGGTGCAAATCGACAATATGTTCGTATCTTAGGCAAAATTTTTTCACAATTGTTGTTTCGAGATTTAAAATTAGAATGTGTGTGTGAGTTTGAGTTTTGAATTTTAAAACTATGTATATTGCTTGAAAACGGACTGCTTCTCGATGGTTTTACCATCTTATGTTTTTATCATGAAACAAACCCTACATGCAAAACTCAATTGATCACATGCTTTTAAGTTAAGACAATTTATGTACAGGGTCCGAGTTTCCTATCGGCTGCTCTGGGGGGACCATATTATAATAGAAATCCACGCCTTTACTGATAAATGATCCATACATATTAATTAGCCGATGGGCAAATATTTAATAAAAAGAAATTTTCTGTTTATTTTTTTGTTAGCCCGTGAATTCAATTCGGAAACTTCTGTTAATTTACATGAAAAGCGGGTTCATTTGTCAAAGAAACCCAAATCAAAGGAATGTCCGATATGCCACAAGAAATTTGATAGAGACTATTTCAAGCAGCACATTCAAAATGTTCATACATCAGAGCGTAAATTTGTCTGCGATATTTGCGATGATGGGTTTAAAAGTTCTACTCTGCTCCAACACCATAAGCTATTGCATTTTGAGCGTAAATTTCCATGCAATATATGTACAAAAAAATTCATACGTTCAAGTGATCTTAAAGTGCACATGCGTTCTCACACTGGAGAAGAACCATTCGAATGCCATTTGTGTGACCGACGGTTCAAAATAAAAGTAAAGCTCAATTATCATCTGCAGCAACACGCTGGCATCAAACGAAAATGTGCAGAGTGTGGAAAAGAGTTTAATAACGTTAGACAATTGAAAATCCACTCTTACAAACACACCGGGATGCCATATAGATGTTTGGTGTGTGATTATAGTTGCGTAAAGCGTGAAGTGTAAATTAAAATGTGTATACACATATAAGATATAATATATGATCATTAAAATTGTTTTAGGTTCAGGCACCATTTGTCGAGGATGCATAATATGACTATAACTCCCGATGAGTATCGTGCTATGTTCAAAGCAAATACCGGCCGAAATCCATACGTGAAACCTTTAGAGGAGTTACTAGCAGAGGAGCAAAAATTGGAATATAATGAACAATGAAACGAGTTTATCTATTACTAAAAATAGTAAAATAAACAAGTAATTTTTAAGCAAAAAACAAAACCGCCTTCAATTATCATATACAAATTTAAGAGTACCGTTAATTTCATGACGATCCAACGACCGGATCTAACCCAAATTAGTATGGGAGCACCTCGGAGTACCACCTTTCCTTTAAAAAATTATATATAGAATTATAGAAATCGGTTACCGTGGTCCAAAGCAAGGTTGTTGCGAATATTCGCATTCGCAACCGCGGAGCTTTCGCATTTATTTTAAAATTCGATTTCGCATTTCCGTACGTCCGAGATCCTTCAATAGGTATTTCCAGCGGAAATGTTCAACATCTAGCTATAAAGAGAATCGACTATTCGTGCGCTAAAAGATAACCTTTAATTAGGTATGAAGCACTATCAAACTATCGAAAATTATTTGTCAAAGGTCTGTTGAAAAAACTGGATGCATCGCTAGTTTTCTCTTCTACTTTTTCTTAGAAAAGTGTAACAATTATTTTTCATAAAACGGCTTCTTATGATTAAGGTCTGTGTTTTCTTTTATTACTTAGCAGAAAAACCCCAAATAATTTTGACCGGTTTTACTATGGAAATACTCTGTGTATTTGCGTTGGCGCTGGCAAAGTTGGTCGCCAATCAACATTTAGGGCCGATTTCAAATGAATATTTAAATGGCACAAGGTTAATTTTGAATTGGTTTTTAAATGCCACTTAACTTTCTTTGGGTTTCAGATCAACTTTGTCTAAATATGCCAAATAATTGGCAGCACTGCTGCTTATTCCTTGAAATTGTTACATTTGCTTGTTTGTTTACATTTTGTGCTGAACAGCTGATTGTTTTTTGGTGGAATTGATTACACAACCTACCAATCAATCTTGGTTGTTTGCAAGGTACATTGAACAGGTAGTATCAGTAGAGCAGCTGTTTTGATTTATTTTCAAATTATTTGGTCTCGAAAATGTCAAATATTTTTAATTTTTTCTCACGAAAATTATAAGATGTTAAAATCCATTTGCTTGTGAAACCGTTTTCCATACAAAACAAGCGATTGAATAGCAGCTTTTGGAACGTTCGCCCAACTCGGCAGCACGACCGCTGATTACTGGGCCTTGCAAAGGATGGATCAATGCTTCGAGAAGCAAACAAATTTATTAGGAAAGAAAGTTGCATCAATTTTTATTTTTTCCAATTTCAATTTTTTATTTTTTATAATTTTTTGTATTTCACATGGCACGCTTTGATTTAGAAGAAAAAATTCAGAACAGTTGACACTTTCGATACCAGAAGCAACAACAAAATACACGCAAATGTTGTTTTTGCTCTACTGATACTACCTGTTTAATGTGCCTTGGTTGTTTGGTACAAAAACAGGGTTGCATATCTCATATTTAAATAGCCAATGTTGGCCTTTTAAGTGCAGATTAAATGTGTGATCTGAGAATGAATAATGGAAGATAATCAACAATCTCTACTTAAGTACACTACTACACCTGAAACTGGGCCTTAGCCATTCAACTTTTTTTGTGCAACCCTGCGTGAGTTGAAAGCAAAATAGCCTCGTGCGAACACCTTTTTAAATTCCACTTTGGAGTAGGGATGTTCCATGCCAGTGTTCGAATAACCACATTGTGCTAGATTTTGCACTTTTTTGAGCATCTACCACACAAGATCTGAAATCTACCAATTATTCGGGTTTTTAAGTATTTTTATTTTTGCTCGACATAATTTTCTTAATTTTAAGAGCAAAAATTGTCCAACACTAAACACTAAGAACAGGCAGAATGGGAGGATAAAATAACCTGTAAAATAGTAAATTTTCTCAATATTCAATTTTTCGACAGGAAACGTGGTTTTGTTAAAAAAAATTGCGATTTTTGTGAAAGTATTAGCAAATTTCAGTGCATCTAAAGCTTTTAAAGCGTTGTTTAATTTTACTTTCGAATTGTCAACATCGGCAAAGCACAAGTAGCTGGAACGTGCCAAGTTTGTTCGCTACATCGTGATATGATAAAAAGAAAAGCTGGTAGCACTCCGCGAGGTTCCAGAAATTTTTCAAAATATGTTCGAAAAATATCTTGATATGCTTTACACTGTCAAGCAAAAAAAATTGCTAAAACTCAACGCAATTTTTAGCAACTTCAATCTTGAAGTTTTTTATAACAAAATAATTTTTTTGTTAGATTCTGATTAAAACGTTTGCAATTTAGGTGAAACCTTGCAGAATTTTTTTTAATTATTGTACAAAGTTTGATCCAAAATCTGACATCTACCACATTTTTTTGAAATCTACCACATTTTTTTCCAGATTCTACCACATAATTTTTATAGTCCGATTACTGCCGTTAGCCTCGCGATTAGGATGTCAGTGGCAAAAATACATCGATGTTTTTCTTTGATGCGATGCATCGATATTTTTCGATACATCGAAAGGCATACATCGATGCATCGATTTGCATAAGATCTTTCTGATAATAGTTGTGTTTGTTTATAAATTATCCAGTAACTTGCAAGCAACTCTCCAGTAAATTTATTTCTACGAATTCGCTCTCATAGAAAAAATTTGCAAAAAAGTACGCGAACGCTTTTCCAGTAATAATTTGCAAGTTTCATGAACAGCTGATAAATTGGTTGTTTATTCGTAGCAAATTCCTAATAAAACAATATATTTTATATTTAAATAGGTTTAGTTTGTGAATTTCAACAATAAAAACCCACAAACAGTTTCCTTATTTGTTTAAATTTCATCCAGCAACATGCGATCAGATGTTTTTCGTACTGGCAAATTCTTACTAGTAAAAATTTATCCAGTAAAAACTTGCAGCTACAACTGTAATTTTTCGCTCTCTCAATTTCACCTACTTTGCAAGTTTTTGCGTACGAAAACGCCAAAACATGAAAATTCGTAAAAACTTTTACTGGAACTGAGTAAACAAACGCAACTAATGTTTCACAACAAAATATGTTATTAGCAAAATTGTACAAAGCTGGAAATAAATTACTGCAACTGAGCTAGTTAAGTTTCTAACGGAACTTTTTGGGGCTACTTCAATTTTTTGGTTAGTCACATCTTTTTTTGTTTTTTGTACAATTAAAAAGACCAATGACGGTTCAATGAACTACGATGTCAGTTTTGAAAAAACATCGATGCATCGATACATCGACTATTTATACATCGAAAGGAAAAATTACGATGCTTCGAAGCAAAACATCGATATTTTCGAAGCATCGATGTTTTTCCGAAATCCCTACTATCGATCCCTAACTTGTAATATCTAGAAAATTTCAAGTAGAAACGCGAAAAATGTTCCAGCTGAAGTAAAATTAAACACTGGTAAACAAATTATAAGATGTCAATTTAATCTATGCCAATTCGAGCTACAATTTACTCTTATATGAAAGAAAAGTTAATTGACCTTGTGTTGAAGTGGAAATAAGGTGCTTAAAAATGCAGTGTCGTGCCTGTATGCAAATGGACTGCGTCGGGGCTGTGGAAATGTGTTGTGCCATATCGGCAGATGGGAAAACATTGTGCGATTACTTTAACGATTGTACACAGCTCCATGCAACATCCACTGATAATCTTCCACAACTATTATGCTTAAATTGCACACAAATTGTGCGTTCAGCCTATAATTTCAAGGAAATCGCTCGTCGCTCTGATGAAGAACTGAGGAAAATTTTAGTGTTTCCAAAAAGTGAGCCTGAGTTGATTTATGCTAACACTGAGCAACCGCAAGTATGGAATAGAAGTATTAATTTATATATGCTAAACAAATTTATATAAAATTCACATGCTTTCATTAGGATGCTGTGGAATGGACAAATGATCCCTTAGCTACGATACCACCAAGCCCTGCTGCCATTGAATATTCAATAAGCATACCTGAACTAGATATACCTACGATAGACATAAAATCTGAGAAATCCGAGGAATTAAGTGAAGAATGGCAAGATGGGGAAAGAGGTGATAATGAAGTGTTGAGAGGCAGGGTGACACATCCTTGTAAATTATGTGATTGTATATACACTACGCAAAAAGAGCTAAGAAGTCATATTTTTGACATGCATAAGCGTAAGTATTTCTTTTTAATCAATCATATCGTTTGTCAAATTTCAGCTTTGAATCATGTCTGAATGGTCAAGTGAATACGGTAATTTCTCTTTATAGCGCATATCGTCTGCATTAAATGTCCAAAAGTCTTTGACTTCCCTAATGAGTTACAACTGCACGAATCTCTTGTTCATGGAACTGAATCACCAGTGCAGTGCCCCTGGTGCAAAGAGTATCACTCAAGGGAGGTATTTTATAAACACTTGCGATCTAAGCACAGCAATTCCTATTCTAAATATTTTCCGAGAAAGCGAATACGTAACCGCGATTCGGGTGAAAATACCTCGTTTCGTTGTGAGCATTGTGAACAGTATTTCTCATCTGTCCTCGAGTTAGCCGATCACATTCAGGAGCATACATTTGATTGCCCAATATGCTCGATGAGCTTTAAAAAACATGGCACTTTCAGGGCACATGTAAAACGAATACACAATCATTCTATAAGTAGCTTAAGAGCTTTAATTTCTGAGGAGAAGGAAGAAAATAAGCCCTTTCAATGTTCCTTGTGTTCAAGACAGTTCAATAAGAAAAGATCTTTTCAAGATCATATGAAACGTAAACATAATCAAAGTATGAAAAGGCTTCCCGAAGATGACGAAGAGGATAAACTGTATAACTGTCCAATCTGTAATATGTGCTTCAAAAGCCATAGTGCCGTCTATTATCACAAGAGGCGGAAGCACCCCGACAGCGCAACAACAACTGAAGGCGATATAAATGCAAGCAGTAATATCGATACTGAAAAAGTGGAAAACGAGAATACTGAAAGCAGTGAATTAATTAGATGTAAATTTTGCAATAAGGAAATACCTGGTAATCGAATAAAATATCACGAAAAACGACATATTTATGCTCTGAACAGGAAAAGAAAATACCTGTGTTCATTTTGCCGTAAGTAGAGACAGAATTTAAACAACCTGTATGGTTAAACCAAATTATTTGATAACTTATTTTAAGCAATTTAACATATCTTGAAATTTAAACTTATAAATAAAGCACCGTCCCGTATATACAAACACTTGTGGTCAGCTGATTAAGTCAACTGATATTTTGACCAGTTTTGATTTGGATATTTTTCTTTTGTTTATTTAATGTTTATTATTTTTTTCATAACAGTCTGGCACATTACATAGATAATAAGCACCATATATTGATGGCTGAGTGGAATATCGACCTTCTGAAAAACCTTTCAAGAAGGCACTTGTTCAGAATTTGATTGAAGAACGCCCTATTTTAGAAATTTATTGAAAACACCCTATCGCAGAATTTGGTTGAAGAACGCACAGTGGGAGAAATGGCGAGAAAGCTGTCCAATATTGCAAAAATTAAAGTTGTGCGGCTGTTTCAAAACATGGTAGTTTGTCAAGAAGAAGGTCCATTACGTAGTGGATGAAAAGTATAAGGGACCCTTTTTTGTATCTTCTTCACTAGAGTAGTTTGAACTTGCTATTCTCGCTAAAGTTTGTGCTACTTTTTTCAACGTCTATAAAATTGTGCTTCGAATATTTGATTTTAAAATAGTGGTTGAAGCACTTAATTCTTTTTTTTTTTTTTGGGAGATAGAGAGCGTTTCTGACGGTATCTTAAGTAATCTAAATCATTGAATTTAAATTTTTCATACAAGTAAAAATATCTAAAAATTAATTGTAAGAGCTGTCTCGAATATTTTTTATTTGATTGTTGAAAAAGTTGTGATCGCGGAAGATAATAGCAAAAACAACTTACTTCAAGAATTAAAAAAGAAAGTAACCACATTCGTCCACCTTATGTTGTATTGTAAGAATAGGGCAATAATATGCTAACTGCTCATTGTTTTGTGGGGGAAGCTTACAAAATCGCTTTCTTTGCAATATTAAAGATGTTATAGGCAAAGAAAGAACACGTGATAAATTCATCCGCTTAGGCTTAAATTAAAGCTAGAACTCTTTCCTACGTTCCCTGAAATACCATCCCAGTACCTTAACCTGATGGTCACTTTTGGTCATTTAATGAAAAAAAAAGTTAAAATGACTACATATAAGTGACTTGGGTCGAGATGCAGGGTCAAGGACAGTAGTCGAGAGTTCTGGCTTTAATTTAAGCCTGAGTGGAAGGTTTTATCACGTTTTCACTTTTTCCTAGAGCTTCTCAAATATTTCGGAAAACGTGATTTTTTTACACTCTGATTTCGTTTTCACAAAATAGGGCGTTGTTGAAAACATTTCTGAAATAGAGCATTTCCGAACTGGCTGCCGAAATAGGTGGATCTTCCACTTAGCCATCGTTATGTAAATCCTCATTTAAAAATGTATACAAAAATTATAAAAATTCAACATATTTTACCAATTCCACCAAAAAATTCAAAATTTTTTCAAATTTTAGATATAGAGTTTTTTAGGATAAGATGCAAGTTTCCACACGTTTGAAAATCGCGTTGAATTTTAATAATTTGTTAGCTGGTGGTGTTGAGCATTTCCTTCCATATAAAGTGTGCTCTACAATTTCTTTTATAAATTATAAGAAATCAAAGCGCTTTTCGAGTGTCTTTGTACATTATTCCACATACATACATTTTTCTAAAAATTCTGAATAAAAATGTCACTTAACTTAATCAGCTAACCACAAGGGTTAATAAATTTGTATGTACCCTGTAGGAAAAGTTACTATTTCTGAACTAGAATGCTGCCAGTTTGCGTTTCAGCCCAACTAGTTCACAGTCTATAATTTTTCAATGTAAGCGACTGGTATTTTAAACTTGGCGGGGTCACACGAGATGCCGCTCCTGTCAAAGGAATAATTATACAATTTTGCGCGCAGCGCTCCAACAGTCGCAACTTGAGAGGCGCCATTTGAGAGCTCCGAGTTCGAATCCTGCGGTAGAGAATTTTTTTAATATAATTTATTTAGTTTTTTCGTTTATTTTCTTTTTATTAATTGTATAGTTTTAAAGAGAAAAATGATTAATTTTTATGGTATTTTGAGTATTTACGTTTTATTTAGGTTAAATTTACAATTTTTAATTTGCATATATTTAAATTGAAATAATTGACTTACTTTACTTTATTCACCTCCAAGCGGGCTCGAACTTGAAATATCAGAAACAGTGGTCTTCACTCGACGCTACAGCCGATATTTGTGAAGAAACCAATTAAATGCATTTTTATTTTTAATATTTTTATTGAGCTTTGTACCACGATTGTTTATTAGGAAAAATTGAAAAAGCAACAAAGTCTAAGCGGTAGAAGTTATAGCAGCTATTTCAGAGATCACCACATCTCCTCATCAGACTTCTTTCTGCTGAAGTCTAGAAAAAAACATTCACAAACTGCATTTTAGTTTTGGTATATAATTCAAATACAGATGTCACTGTCACAGTTGTTCGTAGGTCGTCGCTTTAGCACATAGTAGTTAATTAACTAGTATTTTACTGGCTGGTTTGGCATTTTACTGCGGGGAACTGGTATAATTATAGTCCATGACGAACTGGTATAACTTCCTCATTTAATACCAGTTTTTGAACTAGAATTTCTACCAAATAGTTTACCTTTTTCTACGAGGAACTGTTATAATAATAGTTCATAACGAACTGATATGACTTTTATCCTTAAATAATAGTTGATGAACTGGAATATGTGCATACTACTTCAGCTTTTCCCTGCAGGGTACTTGTGTGAACTACTACTTTAAGAAAAATCACTGACTAATTCTTAGCTTTGGATTTGTTTATCCTTTTCAGCGCGAGAATATAATTCTGAAACTTCGGTTAAGTTACATGAAAAGAAGATTCATCTGCGCGAAAAACCAGAACCGAAGGAGTGTCCAATATGTCAGAAAAAAGTCGATCCACATTATCTTAAACATCATATTGACAATGTTCACACTTCAGAACGTAAGTTTGTCTGTGATGTTTGCGGCGATTCGTTCAAAAGTTACGTTCTGCTTCACAGTCATAAGCGATTGCATTTAGAGCGAAACTTTCCGTGTACGGTATGTACTAAAAAATTCATACGCTCCTTTGATCTCAAGGTACATATGCGTATTCACACTGGGGAAGAACCGTACTCATGTCATATATGTGATCGACGTTTTAAAATCAAAGTACGACTCAACTATCACTTGCAGCGACACGCTGGCATCAAACGAAAATGCAAAGAGTGCGGAAAAGAGTTTAATCACGTCAAACAATTGAAAATCCATTCTTATAAGCACACTGGCATGCCCTATAGGTGCTCAGTGTGTGATTATGCTTGCGCACAACGTGATGTGTAAGAAGTTGAAAATTCCTATGTTATGCAATTATATTATTTAATTTATTGTAACTCAAATATTTCAGATTTAGGAAGCATTTATTGCGAATGCACGATATGACAATGACCCCGGATGAATATTGTGCGATGTTTAAGGCAAATACTGGTCGGAATCCCCACGTTAAAACTCTGGAGGAATTGCAATCGGAGGCGCAGAATATGGAGCAAGAGGAATTATCAAACTAACGTTTAAAATTTCGGGCCTAAGTAGCATAATGACGAAATTGCTGGTAGGTTAATTACTTGAATAAATTCAGCTTGTTTTACCTAATTGTATTATTTTATTTTATTTTTTTTTGCGAAACGAATAACAAATAAAACTAGTTTCTTATTTGGTTGACGAATCAAATCGCAAATAAATTTTATTCATGATTTGATTCGTAATTTAAGATTTGATGCAACTTTCATTCAGAAATACATTTTATTTTTGGATTTACGTTTTTTTATAGAAATCTTCCCACCTTAACACTGCAAAATATAGGTAAAAGCCGAAATTTATATATCCATCGAAAAGAGGAAAACGACATAAATTTAAATATGCCCTTATTATCTCTATTTCTGTAGTAATCTATTTTTAAATGACTACATTTTATTAACCTGTGGGAAAATATTAAAAAAAAAAAACAGTTGTAATTTTTGTCTATGGAAACTTTGATTTCATGCATAATTACTTTACAGCAGTCACAACTTTAAATATTTTTTAATATTTCTGTGAAGAATATATAAACCTCATTTTTATTGAAAACGAAAGCGTATAATTCTTATTTTACAACTTTGTACGTCGTTCGTGAAAATTAAATATTTTGGCTAAAATTCATCTTGAGTGATGAACAAAAGTATTGACACAGTGAATTTTTCGCGATATATGCTACGTTTTTTATTCTTATTTATTTGTGATAATTTTTTATAAAAATATGTTTCCTGTTTCCTTTAAAATTTTTCAATTAAAATACAGTTCATGAACCCAAGCTTATAACTTTTTAGAAAATTAAAGAAAACGCAACAAATTTTCATCAAAATTTCTAAGTTTTCTCAGAACTATTTTTTTGAGTAGACAGTTTTATTGCCCATTCAATTTTAGTCTGATAACACTGGATCAGAAATTAGTGTTTTTTTTTTATTCTACGGATGCCCCTATCCATTCTTCATGTGGAATCGTCCGCTGATTCCGAAAATAGAGTTCACTTTTTATTCTATGAATAGGTTTTCGAGATATTTTCAATTTACCGTTATTTAGCTTAAAACAAAAAAAAATAGTTCCACTTCATCACATATATCTTGAATCGTATCGTAATACGAAATACGGCAAATGAAAGCTAAAGAAATTCTCCATAAACCGTATTAATTAATCATACCATATTTTTTTGATAAAAAATGAAAGAAACTGAAATTTTAATAGGTGAAAAATTAAAAACAAGTAATTTTTAGCAAAAAAACCGACTTCAATTCTCATAAAAATGAATATATGTATATATATATTTCATGATCCAATGATCGGATCTAAACCAGATTAGTATGGGACCACGCCTGAGACACTACCTTTCCGATGCAAAAAGAATTATCGAAATCGTTGACGTGGTCCAAAGTTATGCGGTAACATACATACAAAAATATGCATATATATATATATATATATATATATATATATATTCCGACGAACTGATAACCACCTCCTTTTTTGGAAGTCGGTAAAAAAAACAGATTTTGTGAAAATTTTTGCAGAAAATTGAAGGACAAATGAAGAAGTAATGAGTGGTCAAATGAAAACGAGCATTTATTTTATGTATGAACAAGTAATTTTTAGCAAAAAAAAACCGACTTAAAAAAAGAATTATCGAAATCGGTTGACGTGGTCCAAAGTTATGCGGTAACATACTTAAAAAAAAAATATTCCGACGAACTGATAACCTCCTCCTTTTTTGGAAGTCGGTTAAAAATTAGGAGCAAATAATGTTACCCATACGCCATGTGCACTCTTTCCTGCCAATTTTTCATACCAAAATTTCTTACGCATTTTTTTCACCACTCATTCCTTTTTTTATTTAGTCATCGATATTCTTCACTAGTACCTTGACTTGTTCGTAAGAAACCAGGCTTTAACACAAATAACAAGAAATTTACACAGAAACTGTTATTTTTAAAATTTTTCATTTGTTAAAGTTTAATTTTTTTATTTTTGTCATTAAAAACAAAAAATTTGGAATGGTTAATTCATTTCTCATAAACTATCAGTCCTATCGGAACTTATGGAGAATTTTGTTAGATTTCATTTGCCGTATTTCGTATTACGATTGTTAAGTGGAACTATTTTTCGTTTTAAGCTGAATAACGGTAAATTGAAAATGTCTCGAAAACGAAAAATTGACCCGATTTTGGAATCAGCGCGCAATTCTATATAGGTGGCACACATTGAACATTTGTGCTGTAAACCAGTGTAATGTGCAAGTTTAAGCGGCTAAAAATTACCGTTGGAATAAGTTGGAAAATAATAAGGAATAAACATCCGAAACCGGGATCCACAAAATGGTCCGGGGTTGGATGCCTAATACCATGTTCGGACTCACAACGAAAATACTGAAAGATGTTCGCACCGGCTGGTAGTGTTTTCGTTGACATTTATTTTATACTTTCTTTACAGTTTTGCTACGAAAAAACGAAATCAATATCTTTGTCTTTCATTTTCTTATCTTTAGCAACCTTTTTCTTTTGTTCATATTAGGGATTTAAAAAACATCGATGTATTGAGCAACGACAACGATGTTTGTCGATGTTTTTATGAATCCGATGTTAAGTCAAAACATATCGGAAGATGTTTTTACTAATTTTTCACCATTCCGTTTAACAAATTCTTAAATTCTAATTAATAAATGTACTTATCGATGCAAGGAATAGTCTAATTGCTTTAAAACTAGTGAAATTGTAAAATTGCTTAGCGTCATCACTCATTTTGCCAAACGCCATCAGATGAAAAGCCGGAAGGCCGCTAATAAACAACTCGTATGTCGTTCTAAACAAAAATGTTAATACAATTACCTAATACTAAACACGCCACATATTGACAAGCTTTAAAAATTAATGTTTAGCATATTTACTTGTAATTTTTTATTAAAATGTAGTTCATTAGTAAACAAAAACTATAAATCCAATTCAAAATAGTGTGCAATATTAAAAAAAAACAATCGATGTTTTAAATCGATACATCGACTACCATCGATGTAATTTGTCGAAACATCGATTCTTCAAACATAGATAGTTTCATTGATTTACAATCCTAGTTCATATTTTAATTTGGCCAGCCTACCACTTCGATAAATAATCGAAAAAAACCTAGTGAAGACACCAATTGGAACGTGAGTTTTCAAGTAGTTTTCAGCGAAAACTGGTTTTCGTTTGACAGATTTTACATGGACGAAAACACATGTTTTAGGTCGAAAACTAGTTTTAGCAACGAAAACATGTTTTCGATGTCGGTCAGCACATGGTATTAGATATGGGTCAATTGTTAGAATTGTGAAATTTCTGGCAAGGGTATTAATATTAATATTAAGAATATTCATCAAACCTTATAAATGCATTGTAAACCGTATAAACTTATAATTGTGTAAACCTTATAAATGAACTGTCAAAATTTGTATAGAGACTCGTTTACACATTTCTGATAAATTTCTCCCGCGATCTCACTTAATAAACTTGATAAACTGAAGCCAATGCAACTCTGTCGCACCTCCAGCCATGTTTTCTTGGGCAATAAGCGGGGATCCGCATAAAAATTTTACACGCAAATTCAACAACAACGATATGATCCTGATAGAGATCCGGTTCTATTTATTATCCCTTCTGTTTGTTTTATTTCACTGATAATTTGGCCGCAAAGTTTGGTAGCGGTGACAAATGAATTCATACACAAACAGACATTCTGCCATTGTTTCTTCTAACTTGCTTCAAATAAATAGCCTTTATGTTATGTGTATATTTATTTAAATAGACATTACCTCGTAAATATAATTTTTCCCATTTAGTAAGTTAGTTTCTATAATTTCTTTATCCTCGTGCTAGTAGTATCAAGTTACTGATACTGAGCTCGATGACCGAAGAAAACACGACTATTGTCGCAAGTATAAACGAAAAGAGAGTATGGGTCGATCATGTAACACAGTGCGTAGGCTTATAAGATTATCTGCTTGATAAAGTTATCGGTTTAGATGAATACCACTATTAAGTAAGACTTAGATGCTTGAAATGAATTTATGAAAAGAAAATTTTAAGGGGGGTATTCAAATTTATTTACTTTCCATATCAAACAGTACCGTAAATATGTGTCAATCACACGTTTTATAGCAAATTAAGCAATTTTTTTTACACATTTATTATTAAACAATAATTTTAATTGATTCATTATAATAACTTTAATAGCTATGATTGGTGGCTGTATAATTGGCAGTTTTTATAGAGTTTTCAAATAAAAGAAAGATTGACATAAAGAATCGATTAGAATCGAGTAATTCGAATCTCGCCGTCGATTAATCTATTCCAAGAATCCTAAGAAATAAATAAAGATTCGAGAATCGATTATTTTTCAAAACTCCATCCCTAGGCCAGCCAATTGACAATAAAGGCCCGTCCACATACAACTTTGGCGTTGCGTTGGCGCTGGCGTCGCTTTGACAGCGGCGCGCGTAACGCCCGTGCTTGCTACAATGAACGCTTAGCACAGAATACTTTGGTCACTAAATTAACATACTAGCGGCTGATAAATCAAAATTTTTACATCAATAATTGCATTAAAAACTATATTTCTTGCCCGCATTTGATTAAAAATTAAAATTAAATCACATAATTTTGATTACTTAGAACAGCTGACGAACGACGCGCGCGAAAAGTTGAGAGTTGGCCATCTTTCTGCGTTGTGTTGGCGTTGGCGTTGCCCAACTTTGGTTATATGGAGACTTTCATATAAATGCATGTATTCATAGTCAGCTGTCGAAGCGACGCCAACGCCAACGCAACGCCAAAGTTGTATGTAAACGGGCCTTAAATCCCAGCTAGCGTATTAAAGATGATAAAATATGACTTCCAGTTCGATAAATATGTCTAAAATACGAAAACACAAGTTTTAGGTCGAGAACCAGTTATAGCAACAAAAACATGTTTTCGATGTCGCTCCGAACATGGTATTAGAACTGTCGTTTGCTAATCGTTGTACATGCATTGCTTGTTTATATTTTATGGGGAAAATTAGTGAAAAAGTTAGTATTTGCATTAAAATTGCATAAAAATGAGAATTTTTTGCATAAGATTGTGGAAACTATTAAAAAGTGGATAATTGCAATAAAATTCAATAAATGTGAGAATTTAACTACAAAATATGACGAAATTTTAAAAAGTCTCTACGTGCGTGCACAAAACTCAATTCAGGAAAAGAAAATATATTACTGAAAATTTATGGTTAGAGTTGTTGCAGTCAGAAGTTGCAGGTTTTAGTCCGAAGTTTTTCTTCCCGCAAGTTCATGAAAAGTGTCAAACGATAGGCAGGGTTGCTTTTGTAAACAAAAACAGATAGCAACGAACATTAAGCGCCACGGAGACAATCAAATAAATACGTCAAGCATTGCATATGTGTGAGATTGCCTCGTGTCTTGCCCGCAAACGTTCAAATAAACGCGTTAATGCAACAAACAATTTATTTTTATTGTCCGCGCACTTGCTCACCACGACGGTCAGAAGGCAAGTGCGCTTGTTTTTTGTCAAGCAAAACGCGAGACGGTTGATAAAGATATTTGATCGTCTCCATGGCGCTTAACATTAAAAAAAAATGGATGTAGTTACAGGAAAAGTGGTTTTTCGCGTTCCAGGTGACTTTTATTTTTTCTTTCTTGCTCCTCTCTTTCAAGAGAGTAATTTTGTTATTTGACAGTTTTACAGGTTTTTACACGAAGTTATCTGGAACGCAACTTATGTATGATTACACGATCAATGTGCAGAAGTCAATCAAAGGTACATTAGGGCTGTTCAGGATCTTGTGCATATGCTCATGGATTTGTATATTCGTTGCATTTGTAAATTCACAACAATAACATGCACACGGTTGCCATGGCAACAAGAAAAAAAATTGCAAATGCAACTCCAACTGCAAATCTAAGACCACTTCCACAACATCCTGAACAACCCCAGTAATTTTTTTATGGCAGTAAAATTGAATGTTTAGCGCAAATAATACTTTTTGGATTATTTTCCTAGGTTGATGAGAAGTTGGTAAAAAAATTTAATTTATTAAAAAAAAAATTATAAAACAAAAATCGAAATTTTACAAAGTGATCACTTTATTTTCTAGCTAAAAATCGCGCGGGCTTTTGACATTTTTTTTTGCTGTTAGTGTGACGTATGGTCTTCCATACAAAGTCTGTCCGAAACGTTTTTATATGGAGGAAAGTGTACATAAATAAATTTGTAAAACTTACCAATAGCTGATGCTCTGAGTTCACAGTATGAAATAGTGTTGTGGAATATTTCTGCTGGAGCTGCAAAACTATCGATAGTTTATATCCCCATCAATAGTTTTGAAAAAACAATCGATGGCCGTCGATAGTCTCAAAGAAAATAAACTATCGATAGTGCCATCGATAGTTTTGTAACTATTGTTTACTATATTGAAGAAAAGTAGAAATTATTAAACGCGTTAAAAAATAAATCAAAATATAATTAATGCACGCAAAATACACGTGAAGGTTGCAAAGTTCGTATATCTATGAAAGTGTATCTAAAGTATCTATGAGTGAAACTTTGCTAGTGAAACTGCACGCGATCTAACAACAAATTAATAAAATACTTAATAATAAATTCAAAGAAGTGATAAATGTAAATATATACGTTTCTAAACATCCCCGCCAATCATTGCTAAATCACCCAAAAACCGATGTATGTGTTGGAAAGCCAACACAAAGGATCTTATGTTCCGACATGAGTCAAAGAGTTTGTTAGCCTTGTATTGAAGTGGAAATAAGTTGTTCAAATATGCAGTGTCGTGCCTGTATGCAAATGGACTGCGTCGGGGCTGTGGAAATGTGTTGTGCCGTATCGGCAGATGGGAAAACATTGTACGATTACTTTAACGATTGTACACAGCTCCATGCAACATCCACTGACAATCTTCCACAACTATTATGCTTAAATTGCACACAAATTGTGCGTTCAGCCTATAATTTCAAGGAAATCGCTCGTCGCTCTGATGAAGAACTGAGGAACATTTTAGTTTTCCCAAAAACTGAGCCTGAAATGATTTATGCCAACACTGAGCAACCGCAAGTATGAAATACACATTTTGTATTTGTTAAAAAATTATAATTTAATAAAGTCAAAATGCTTTCATTAGGATGCTGTGGAATGCACAAATGATCCCTTAGCTACGATACAACCAAGCCTTGTTGCTATTGAATCGTCAATGAGCATACCTGAACTAGATATACCTACGATAGACATTAAATTTGAGAATCCTGAGGAATTATGTCAAGAATCACAAGGTGATGAAAGGGGTGATAGTGAAGTATTGAGAGACAAAGTGACGCATCCTTGTAAATTATGTGATTGCATATACACTACAAAAAAGGAGCTAAAAAATCACATTTTTGACATGCATAAGAGTAAGTTTTTCTTTTTAATCAATCATAACGTTTGTCACATTTAAGTTTCCAATCATATCTGAATCTGGTTAAGTGGATACAGTAATTTCTCTTTCTAGCGCATATTATCTGCATTAAATGTCCAAAGTTCTTTGACTTTCCCAAAGAGCTACAACTGCACGAATCTCTTGTTCATGCAACTGAATCACCAATGCAATGCCCCTGGTGTAAAGAGTATCACCCAAGAGAGGTCTTTAATAAACATTTGCGATCTAAGCATAGCAAGGCCTATTCCAAATATTTTCCGGAAAATGAAATATGTGATCGTGGTTCGGGTGAGAATACCTCGTTTCGTTGTGAGCATTGCGAGCGATACTTCTCATCTGTTCTGGAGTTAGCCGATCACATTCAACAGCACGCATTTGATTGCCCAATATGCTCGATGAGATTTAAAAAACATAGCACTTTCAGGGCACATGTAAAACGAATACACAATCATTCTATAAGTAGCTTAAGAGCTTTAATTTCTGAGGAGAAGGAAGAAAATAAGCCATTTCAATGTTCCATATGTTCTAAACAGTTCAAGCAGAAAAGATCTTTTCGCGATCATATGAAACGTAAACATAATCAGATCATTAAAAAGCCTGAGGAGGACGAAAATAAACTCTTTCAATGTTCCCCGTGTTCAAGACAGTTCAATAAGAAAAGATCTTTTCAAGATCATATGAAACGCGAACATAATCAAAGTATTAAAAAGCGCCCCGAAGGCGAAGAAAAAGGTAAACTGTATAACTGCCCAATCTGTAATATGTGCTTCAAAAGCCATAGTGCCGTGTTTTATCACAAAAGGCGGAGGCACCCCTACATAGCAACAACAGTCGAAGACGATATAAATGCAAGCAGTAATACCGATACTGAAAAGGAGGATACCGAAAACAGTGAATTAATTAGATGTAAATTTTGCAATAAGGAAATACCTGGCAACAGAATAAAATATCATGAAAAACGACATATTTATGCGCTGAACAGGAAAAAGAAATACCTTTGTTCATTTTGCCGTAAGTAAAAAGAGAATTTAAGCCGCCTTAATACCTGGTAAAATCAAATAATTCGATAAATTATATTTACGCGATTTAAGCTTACTATAAATAAATCGCCGTCCCGTGTAGATATATGTGCATACATAAATGCATGTACATATTTACGTATGAACTACTACTTTAAGAAAAATCACTGACTAATTCTTAGCTTTGGATTTGTTTATCCTTTTCAGCCCGTGAATTTTATTGTGAAACTTCGGTTAAGTTACATGAAAAGAAGATCCATCTGTGCGCAAACCCCGAACGGAAAGAATGTCCAATATGTCAGAAAGAAGTCGATCCAGATTATCTTAAATGTCATATTGACAATGTTCACGCTTCAGAGCGCAAGTTTGTCTGCGATGTTTGCGGCGATTCGTTCAAAAGTTATGTGCGGCTTCAGCACCATAAGAGATTACATTTAGACCGTAAATTTCCGTGTACGGTATGTACAAAAAAATTCATACGCTCAAGTGAACTTAAAGTACACATGCGTAGTCACACTGGTGAAGAACCGTACTCATGTCATATATGTGATCGACGTTTTAAAATCAAAGTTCGGCTCAGCTATCACTTGCAGCAACACGCTGGCATCAAACGAAAATGCAAAGAGTGTGGAAAAGAGTTTAATGACGTTAAACAATTGAAAATGCATTCTTTCAAACACACCGGCATGCCATATAGGTGTTCTGTTTGTGGTTATGCTTGCGCACAACGTAATGTGTAAGTTTATAGTTCGTTAGCTGCGTAATTATATAACTTAATTTATTATTACTCAAATATTTCAGATTTAGGAATCATTTATTGCGAATGCACGATATGACAATGACTCCGGATGAATATTGTGCGATGTTCAAGGCAAATACTGGTCGGAATCCTCACGTTAAAACATTGGAGGAATTAAAATCGAGCGCAAAGTAAGGATCAAGAAAAATTACCAAACTAAATGACTTAAATGGACAAATTAGCTAAAAGATAAATTATTTGAACAAATTTATTAGACTTTCAGCGCTCTATTCAGCTATCGTTTTATATGGGCAATTCTCAATTAGCTCGAATAGGCGCATGACTCTGACAGGTTTTATGCGGACACATAATTTCTGCTCCTTTATTAACAAAAATCAGGTTAACCGTCCTGTTCATAGATGGGTACCCGGGTACCTTTTGCATATGGGTGTTTCCAGCGGAAGGTCCACCACGACAAAAAAAATAAAAGTTTTATATCTAACGTATTTACGGGCCGATTTGTCTGCTTTTTAAAATATATACTGGCTATGTAAGTAGAATCATGTTTGCATAAAATGGTCTTCCTAGGTGGTGCCAAGGTCGAGATATTTCGAAAACCCGTATTTATGGTCCGATTTGGTTCGAATTTGGCGTATGTGGTTGAAACATAATAAATCATAGATTTCTAATAAATTGACCCTGAATTGGCGCTGAAGTCAAAATATAAAGTATATTCTACATAAAATACATGTTTTATTTGCGTTGAAAATTCATTTAAAAGCAATTTTAACAAAAATATATCGATGGAAATTTGTCACGTGACGCCACGTCACGTCACGTTTCACACTTGGGGTTGTAAAAGAGAATTGAAACAATTTGCATTAATTCAAAAAACTCTAAAAACAACTAAAATTGCTCCAAATTATATTAAAATAAGTTTCATGAAAATAGCCCTCCACAATTCGCAGAGTTTTGCGATTTTGTAAGAAAAGAAAAAATCAACTTCCATTTTTTGTCACGTAACGACACTCTTTAAATGCTTATATATCAGGACCAAGCAGTTCGATTGATTTCATTTTTCGGTTAAATATAGAGCTAATTACATATGTGCTATACAATGGCCCAAAAAAGTTAAAGAAAACGAATGGTTTTCCTTTTTTGTATCACATTGAAATCGTACGACTGTCACGTGCGCCACCATGGGAATGCCCATATTCCACTGCAATTTTTTCATAAACCACTGATACTAAGTTAAAATTTGGTGACATCCTAAAACTTTTAAATTTCTACAAAATGGAGAAAAACTAAATTTAAATATAATTTCATAATTATGGTTTTTTGAGTAAATTAAGTTTTTATTATTAGTTCTAATGGATAGGGTACCTGGGTACCATTAGTAGTTCTCATGTAAATAATAATTCGATACATAACATGTAAAAGAATATAAGTTTTTATACCCGAGCGCACTTGTGCATGAGGATATTTTAACGTTGTTCACATAACGGTTGTTTGTATCAGCCAGAACGATGCGAGGTAGATATACTTAGACAAATCGTCGCCTGGGTAAAAGATTGTCGTATGTTAATTTCGGTAGGTTGTGGGAAATCGCGATTGAAGTTTGGAATACAATTTTCCAAAAACGCGAAGATAGATTTTCTCCAAACTCTCTGAAAATGTTACTAGTTCATAAAACTCTTAAATTATTTAATTTTTCGTGCGAACAAGTCGTAAGGTAAAATGAAGCTTTCGCTGCCTTCTAAAGCAGAGTGTTTATGTATACGCGAATATGCCCGCCGGGCAGGCGCCGCCCAGGTCTGGTTTAATATGACTGCATCACTAACTAAATTTTTACTAAATTATTAAAAAAATATTTTGTCAATATCTCGGATACTAAAGGAGATATCTAAAAACTGATAACACCAATTGAAAGACTTTATTTCAAAATATATAACTGCATCTAGAACTAAAGAACGTCAAAATGGCGCTTACGACAATCTTTTACCCAGGCGACGAAAATGTATACATAATAAAATTACAGTTTGAAAAACTAAAACCTCCCTATTATAATTGCCATTCTACTGTCATCAGCTATATAACTTGAGAATAGAAATCGCTGCATCTTTTAGGCGCATCAATATTACATAGTTAAAGCGCAGTTACCCACGTACGTAAAAACGGAGAACGTGTCAGCTGACACGATCTATCTTATGGGATCTGCATGTTAACAAAAACTCACCACCGCATGACCGTGGCGTAGACGTTGCTTCTCTCTCTTTCTATCAACAGCATACTTGATATCTTTCAACGTACTTCTACGCTACGCTACGGACACGTTCGTGGGTAACCGCACTCTTACATCCCGAGGTAATAAAAGGATGGTAAAAAGGCGATTTCGCGTTCAACTTAAACTGGCTACACACGACGAACATATCCGCGCACATGTGCGCCAACATGCTCGCTGTCGTTTGCTACAAACGGCTGTCGTTTGCTACAAACGGCGAGCGGCTCATAAGTGATTTTGTACTCAAAGCGTAAACATGGAAAGGAAAGACGCGGATGATGCAATTGAAATACTTATGACTTAGGGTTTTTTATGTATGTGTTACTTAAATTTATTTATATTTTACTTATATGTATGTACATACATATACATATAGTAATTTAGCCTCATTTATCAAAAATTCAATTAACGCACATGGCTTGGATGCATTTATCCGCGATGTGCGCGATGTTCCAATGCGATGCTCGCAAACCACGCTACAAACGACGAGCATGCTCGCTGAAAATCAAAATTTTTTGATTTTTGGCGAGCATGCTCGCAAACCGCCCTACAAACGACGAGCATGACCCGCAAGCCGCGCATGTGCGCGGATATGCTCGTCGTGTGTAGCTACTGTCACGCAGGCTTGCAGTTGAATGGCTAATACGGCGTTTCCACGTTTGGTAATTCGTTCTTTCATTCGTAATTAGCTCTCCCATTCGTCATTCGCCTTTCCAATTACCTTCCGAATTACGTATTTCGCCATACAAAATTTTGACAGCGAATTACCTCATTTGTAGGTAATTCAGATCGAATTACCATGCGAATGACGAACGAATCGGTGCCTTATCTAATATTTATCGGAAATATATCGAAGTTTTCACCGGCCTGGTCCCATTCGCTGGCATTTTTTCTAGTTATAGAATAATATTAATAAAATATTCTTGATATAAATTAAAATCGTTAACTTAAATTTTAGCTTCATCTACGATATTTGCAGTGCACAAAAATAATAATAGGGAATTTACATGAGGCGATTTTTAGTTGAAAGCAACAATCGCCTGGTGTAAACGGCCTTTCAACTAATCGCTTACAATGAAGTTGGTCGGCTGCCTACTTTCGTTCAACTTTTGGTTCAACTAATCGCCTGTGAAAGTTGAATCATGTAAATTCCCTATAATAAACAGCGAAGAATAAGAACAAGAACTAGAGCTGCCCAACGAATTACTAATGAGTGACGTGGAAACAGGGTAATTCACGAATTACTTAACGAATTACTTAGAGCCAATTTACACGACGACTTCACCCTGCGTTTTTGGCACGTTCTATTTTAAAAAAGTCTTCGAAAATCCTCGTGCATTTACACGACGACTTTTTCTTTGCGCCGTTTCTTGCGTATTTTTGACATTTAAGCGTAAAATCTTCTTTGGTCAACTCTTTCGTCCTCAATTTCAAAGCGGAGCGAATCGCGAACTCAAAACAAAAATGCGAAAAAGTGAACTCGATAAAAGCGAAACGTCAAAAAAAACCCTCGATTTCGCTGGCGACCAACTTTGTTAAAAGTGATTAGTTGAAAGACCGTTTAACCAAAAGTGATTTTAATCGGAGATTTATCGAAACCAGCTCACAAATAAAAACTTATGGGTCGATTACGGATGGCAACACAACCACGCTTCGGTTGTCAGCTGGCAATGCAACTGGAAAGAAAATTTGTATTACGAATGGCAACTATCGTCAGTTGCTGTAGAGTTATCGATAATCGAAATTTGACAGTTCAACAACCAGCAAGCGGCTGCAAACAAGCTGCGCGAGTAAAATTAAATTATTAAAATAAAGAGTTTTAAAGAACAGACAGAAATAAAGCTAAATTTATCACAATTATTTGTTTAGGAGGAAGAGAAATGCATGAACGCGTCCTCAATGAGGCGACACTTAAAGGATAATTCCAATCCTCTAGAGCTACCGCGTTTACTGTAAGCAAAAGTTAATGGTTTCTTTTGTTATCGTTTTGTGTTCATTTTCAAAGCATATTCAGGACCTCCAAAAGAAGCTGTAGTATAATTGGTTAATAAACAGATGAACCACTTCGTTCAACTTCAATACCTCCGCTAATAAAAGCTTGCGCACATCTTCGATTTTTCGCAGAAGGAAGTGCCACAGCAATGACTTTAATTTGGAAAACTAGGTGTGTCGGTAGTTTTAAAAGAGGTGCTTCAATTGATAAAGGAAAAAATTGCAATCAGTGTTCGCTTTTGTTTCGCCAAAAGGGCGTTGTCCACGGGAACTAAAATTTCAAGATATTGGTTTGTTATTTTCACCATATTCTGTAAAAGCAAACTGCAAAGTTCGATTGTTATCGATAATCTACCCATTACATATTTTCTGAGTACGAAAAGTTAAGTTTGTCAATGTGTATATTCCTAATTTAATGTCGGGATGTCTTTGGAAAATGGTAAAAGGGTCATTGCGGTAATTATTACGTATGTAGCTCGAACATACGCAAATACTCGATTGCTGCTATTCATTTGATTAATCTTGCCACCGCTATTAAAATGTCATCAACATAATCTGTAATTAAGGATGAAATACCATGCAGGTATCGATACTTTTTTTCGATACTACTTCCAAGTAAAAAGAGCTACTACTTCCAAGTAAAAGTATCGATACCTACTCAAGAATGATAGAATACAAGATTGCGTCAGTCGAGCTGAAAGCAACTGGTCCACCAACTACCAAAAACCTATGCACATAAAAATACATGTTTACTGTTTAGGTACGTATATCTACTTTTAGGTACAACTTTTCGGCGAATTGGTACAATATGAAAATTTAATATTCATAACTAGTGCGAAAAAATAATAATGCGATGTCAACGAAAGGATGGATGCTGTCAAATCGAGAAAGAGAGGACTAGCGGTCCGCGGAAGGAGCCACCTTTGTTTCGCTGCATCGTGGATACCTACTCATATCGATATGTTTGGCTATGTAGGTATTTGATTGCATTTTGCTCATGCGAAGTGTCAAACCCGAAGAGTTACCCAGTGAACTTAACATCGCGTACTGAACATTCATCCATCATCGAACATCGACTTTAATGAAGCAATTATAGCATGTATTTGCACTATATCGACTGTGGCGCATTTGTTGGTTGGCAATTAAACTGCCATAAATAACAAGGCGCTTAATATTGGGAATAACAATGGATGTAAAATTACCGATGCAAAATTTGGGGTACGGTTTAGTACGTT